GTCAAACTAAGAACAAAAAGCAATGTTTGATTAACTTTTATCATTTAAGTGAATTAAATTAAAACTGGGATTTATTGATGGACTGGTGAACAGTCCAGGGTGTAACCCCGCCTCTCGCCCAATGACAGCTTGGCTCCAGCGCCCCCCACGATCCTGAACGGGAAAGCGGTATAGATAATGGATTTGATTTATTGTACTTCGTAGGACCTGGTCAGGAATAAGTTTAGGGTAAATAATACAAATAATTGTCTTTTCTTGTTTTGGCTTTTCAACTTTTTGCCATCCAGTTTGTAACATCAGCTGATAGTTCTGTAATAAAATCAGCACAACAGGGTTAAAGGTCGAGGTAGGTCCTACAACTTACACCATTAACCCAAGAGACAGTGAGTTACAGTTATCCAATGTCATTGATAAAAAAAATTCTTAAATAAGTTGCCTCATGATTTTAAAATCTCTGAAACAATATAAAAGTATTGAGCCCTTTGTCCCACTCTAAACTCTCAAAGTCAGTTCAGTTTGTAAATGCGGTCGAGGGGAAGCTCAGTGAAGGCGCGACTGAGCAGAAAGCTTGTCAGCCCAAACAGGCCGTCTCTCCCCACACGTGTTCAGCCTGTCAGCTGCCTCGCTGATGTCTCTTGTTATTATTTTCCTCTCATTCTGCTGCCTTTTCTTTGCAGAGTCATGAATAATTTGTGTCTACGCCTTGTTGCTCGATGACAGCTGTGCAGTTGGTTTGCAGTCTGTTTTTCAGATCAGGTGAATAATGAATAAGCCTCTTGCAACAAAAGAGCTGTGTCCTATATGAGCTCTGCCTCACTGTCCCAGCTTAGCTTGGCGTGTCAACCACCGGGGGGGGGGGACAGGGGGGACAGGTGAGCAGGAAAGTCTCTGTGACGCTTAAAGTATCCTAACTGAAACATGTATGCATGAAAACAGTTTTATTTGTATTTTTTCAAGAACTTCTCCGCAGCGTTTCTCGTGTTTGAGCAGGTTAATCAGCGTTTTTCTCTGAAGCAGCACAAATCCTTCATCTCTCTCTCTCTCTCAGCTTATCTCTCTTTGTAACTCGTCAAACCTGAGTGAAATCTGCTGAACAGAGCGGGAGAGCAAATACCACATTATTATTACAATATACACAACAGGTCTGCATGCCCTCAGGGAAATAATCACATTTGGCCTTCCCTTTCTTCTCTCATATGAAAAGTTGATGAGTATCTAAACATTCGCCTGATGCTGCTGAGTCTAAATATTGATACCAGTCTTTTGCAGGGGTGTGATCCTGCCCCTATTATTTATTATCTCTATCGCTCTGGATGTTTTATTGAGATTCTCTCTTTAATACCACAGTTATAAATCAGGAGATGGGCTCTGGTTTCAAAACCTATTGCAGTCTTAACATCTCACCTACTGTGTCTCTCTCATAGACTGTAAATATTAATGGATGAAGCCTGAGTGACATCACCGATCTGTTACTGGAGGGCGGCTTTGGAGTCCCATGGATGGCGGTCGCCATGCTGAAAATCCGGTCTCAGCCTAACTTTCAGTCAACCTAACGGCAGGCTGAGAGCTGGAGCTGAGGCGGGTTTTAAGCCCTGTGACAAACCATAACATCACACCTACCTGTCAATCAGGTCAGCTACACACCTCTTATCCTTCATGAAATTAAATCGGATGAGTTATCTAAAAATTCACCCCCCTGCAGAGTGTGCTGATCGAGACATGACCTAATCAGACCTTTTTTTCTTCTTTTTTTTAAACCAGGCTGTAAACATTTTGTTTCTCTGCTGTAAAAACAGGCTTTTTTGAATGGGTGTGTATGTGACTTCCGGTTCTTGTGCTGCCAGCCTCAAATGGACACTCGATGAACTGCAGAGTTTTGAACTTTTTGTTCTTAACATGAAAGAAAACGGCCTACTATGTAGAGAGGGAGCTACAGGGGCGATACGGCCAAATAATATAATCCTGATTTTTTTGTTGTATTGAGCAGTATTGATTTTTATCATGGTTTATTATTTGATAATGCTGCAAGGTTGAAAATATCCTGATGATGACAGAGACCTTGAAAAACAGATGGTTCAGTTAAACTTTACAATGTAGCTGTCTGTCAAACATGTTCAGTCTGTTAATATAAGTTTTTACTCTAAAGATAATCACTGACACAATTGAAGATCGAGCCGTTTACATTTTTTTCTTAAAATTCCTCCAACATCTCTATGCAGACAAAGGTGCTGCAGTTCATAACCTTAGCTGAGTTTTAGGGTATGGATTCCTACAGTCATTATTATACTGAGGTTTCTACTTGGAATTATCCACAGAGTTCTTTTCCTTCCAAAAACACACAGACGCTGTGATTAAAAAACATTGAACTAAACAGTGTCAGGATAAAAAAAAACAATGTTTGTGATTCTATTCTGCAGAGCTAAGAGGACAGCTGGTTAAAGCTGGTATTAACTTCAGCTCAGCTTAGTTCTGTATTTTTTTAGACGATGAAACACCTTTATCTGCTGAAAAAGACAAAGTTAAAAACAATCTGAAGAGGTGATATTGACCTACACGGTAAATTGCAAACCAGACACTGTCTGTTGTGTCGTTTATTTCCACTGTGTGTGATAAGCTGTTAGAGCTGTTCAATCCAGTTTATCATTGTTATAAAACACATTTTATCATGATCCTGTCAAGAGATAATTTTTTGATTAAGCCCTCTTCAGAGGTATTAAGATAAAACAAAAAACCCATATAATGTATTTAGTCAGGGTTGAGAATTCAGCTTCTTTTATCAGCTTAAGGGGGGAAAAAAATCTAAATCAAACGGCAAAGTGTCTCTTTTATTATTCATGTTTAATTTCAGATGAATAATTAAGTCTTCCTAAACCACAAACCACACTGAACTTTCTAATTGCACAACTGTGTCTGTCAAGAAAAATTAATCCAGTCAGACCTGTGGGTGCATGCATGTGTGATTGTGTGTTTCTCCAGTGTGTGCACTTACGGTCCAAGGTGCAGGCCTGGATTTGAGCCCTCAGACTGCAATGCTCTGATTACTCGCCCACTCGAATCGATTGAGCCGTCTTCTATTTATATTTGATAAGCCTCCGGGCAGTGGGGTAATGCTTTAAAAGAAAAATCCACCATGCCCTTGGAGGAAATCTGGTCAGCTTAATGCGTCTTTTTCAGATTTTTGCTTGAAATCGTCTCTCTGAGATTGTGCTTGAGGTGCATCTCTCACTGGAAATCCTGCAGCACATTATGAGATGAAACATCAGTACAAACTGCTTTCTTCATGAGAAGATGCTGCACAGCTGTTTATAATGAAGAAGAAAAATGAAGAGTTTCTTGTTGAGTTTGCATAACTTAAACTAAAAAATAATTAATTTAAACTGGTGTGGACCTTAAAACATATATCCTGCTGACTACTCCTGGAAGCATGTTCTGCTACGTTATTATACAAAGCAATTGCGATACGATACGTTACCACAAGATACGTTACGACACAATACAATAAGATATGTTACGACACAATTAGTTAAGATACAATAAGTTACTATACGATACGTTGCATTGCGATTCCATTCGATATGATATGATACACTTTATTGTCCCCTTGGGGAAATCTGTCTTGGACTCAAAGTGCTGCCGAACATTCAGCTTCTTCCACTAGAATAAAAAAACATCCACATGTAAACAGAGAGGCACATTCCAATGCAAAATAACACAACATAGATTGCACATTACCCATAATGCTCAAGATCTGCAAAAACACAACCTTCAATTTGAGACATATCCTTTTTCTCAATTTTAGCATTCCTTCCCACTTGTATTGAATCCAAACTTGAATACTGACCAATACTGTACCTCTTTACTCTCTCAACAAGCAATCATACTGTAGATAAAGCATCCAGTCCTTTCCGCCAGACATTATGCATTTAATGAAGAGATAATCTGTTTCACTGCTCAGGAGTAGAGAATGATTTTATTTGCTGTGCTCGTTCTCGACAGTTTTGAGAAAGTAACAACAGTTATCTCTGAGTAAATAACTTTTCTTTGTTCGTTTTTGTTCCACATTTTTTCTATTAATATTAATTTCTCCCTTCATCTTTACGGATACTTTACGAGTCACTGTTAAGATGTGTTATAGCATAGTCTCTCTGTATGGAAGCCCTAGGTGGACACACATCCATTTGACTTTTCATCCTTTTTCCCGTGATAAGTACATTTTGGTTATTTTCTCGAGATCTCCACTTATCTATCTTTGTAGGCTAGTTTTTCCCGTGATAATTTAATTCATGAAGATCTCGAGAAAATGGTGGACATCGAAACCATCACTGTTTATCCTGAGATAAAAGATAAATAAGTTTACTTGTAATCATTGAAAAACAGAAATAAATCAAATATGTTGATGAATGTTCACTTAGGGCTCTTTTACCTTTAATCCCTTGTCCATAATGTATTTTTTTCTTCCCTGTTTAAGGAAAATATATCCTCTGTGGTCAGCTGATGTCTGAGGTTTTGATTTTTTGTAGATCGATTTATAATGACACCGCTTGTGATATTTTTTAGGAATGCAAAAGAAATCCTTTCCTTGTGCATCTGTTGTTACATGAATGAATAAAAAGATTTCTTTAAAAGAAAGAAAAGTTGCTGTGTACTGGTCCCTTTTCCCACCTAGATTAACCCCCCTGCCCGTTTCTCCACAGAGCCGTAGTCCGGCTGTTGGCTGGAGGCTCCCTCAGAGTGTTTAAGGCACTTAATGGCAGCTCCTGCTTTATTCCAACTGGAGGAAAATTCCCCTGTGAGCACATTCAACATCACTCCTTTTGAACAGAGTGTGTTTTTAGTTCAGATGGTAGCTTTTGTCTCTGTCACACTTCATAATTCCAGTTACATAAACTGCAGATTTCCTGTGAAGAGAGCATTTTTAGCAGACATTTGAATGTGGGGGAATGTGACGAACACAAGGTTTATTTTTATTCAGACAGAATAGATGACAACGTCTCCTCCTGTGCAACCTTGCACCAAGGTGCACAGCTCCATTAAGTTCTGCTTTAAAATGAGCTCGCCTTTTCCTGTGTTCTCCCTCAGTCTGTTCATCTGGGGCTTTAAAATATTCAGTGTTTTAGCAGGCCTGGATGTTGTACGATTTTGAGGGAAGTGAGGCATAGAAATCCTTGTGAGTCAGTGATTTCAATCAATGTTGAGGGAAGACGACTAACTGATTGTTCCTGTTTTTCTTCTTTTCTTTTGTCCTTGTTGGACTGAGAACGAGTTGAAATGATGATGATGATGATGATGATGATGATGATGAGAAAGCTGTCCATGTTGACAATGTGATGTATAACCTCCACTAACAGATTGTTTAATGGAGGGGAATTGTTTTTCTGATCAGTCTGTTTATTCAGTTTACACTTTCTGATGACTGAATAAGAATAACTGTCCTGTCTGTTGTTTTTATCAACACATGAGCTCTGTCAGGATTCTTTGCTGCCTGCTTTCAAACTGTAAATCTTGATTCCTGAGGCCCCAGTTTTGACTCCTCACTGTCAACAATGTGTGAAACTCCAAACCAATCCCTCTGAGGATCACAGCTGCTGCATGTGTGCCAGCTTCCTGCCAAAACTGGCTTTGTTTTTGTTTGTTTTTAAATAACAGCCATGAGGGTAAAAAAACACTTGGTTAACGGTTCAATCTGCTCAGACTGTTTAAGGTTAAAACACTCGGCTGCAGTGGTCAAAACAAACAGGAGCTGCAGTCGCCTCTGGGCGTTCACAATCACAGCAGCAAGATGCTGAGATGTCCTGCGTCTTTGTTTGTGTCTGTTGCTTTAATTTGCATAAACACTTTGGTGAGTAAAGGTCTGGAAAGCTTCTGTTGTTGCTTGGTTGATGGTTTATAGTGTAGTAGAATAAATGTTTTAAAGGGAGAGAATAATAGATGAAACTTGGCCTCGAGACTACAAACCCTTTAATCTATCAAAAAAATCAATTTAGCTTAAATGTCCGTGTGAAAATGAAGTTCAATGGTCTGTAAAACAATTCTGAATTGATTTCATTGAATCTGCAGTTTCCTTTGAGTTAGAAAACAAGTCAACTTCATTTCACTTTTTGATTTTATTGAATTTTATGAATTTTAATAAAACCAACCAGAAAATAAAATACACTTGAGAGAATATATTATATATTAAACAGTTAATTTACGACAGTCAAAAGTGCAAAATGTAAAAGTGGAAGATACCATCTTTGTGACTAAGGCCTCCTGTTTATTAAATCACACAGTGTGAGGAGGCTGTTTTGCCAGCATCATGTCTTCAGACTGAAAACAAAGGAGCCTCTGGTCTGTGGACAGGCGCAGATTTGCACCTCAGTTGGCTTCGTGGTCGATCAGGGTTATGAAAGTGAGAGTGATAATATTTTGAGGGTTTTCAACCCACTGGTGCGGATTCCTCTGGCATGGCGAATTTATTTGATCATGTGCTTTCATATTCTGTCTCATTCACAGCTTATTTCTGGTTTTATGGATCTCTGGAACATATTTGAAAATAATTAGTGTTTTCGAGGCCCTAAACGTACATGTTTACCGTATCAAAATAAATAAATAGTTGTAGCTATATTTTTTATCTGAAATGCACTTCAACACTTGGTCTGTACAGTGGGAATCACCGTGATTCTTGATCCAAGGAAACGTCCACGAGCTGGCACATTTGCAACATGTCCTCTGTCTTCATCCGGGGTCCCAACTCGTTTCCGTAATAATACTTTAAAGATCACTTTATGACAGGAGGGTTTCTTCTCGCTTCATTTCAGTCCATGCTGTGTCTCTTTGTGCCTCCTCAGGTCCACTTTCCTCTGGAAGCCTTTCCCGCAGAGGTCGCAGCCGAAAGGTTTGTATCCGGTGTGTTTCCTGCTGTGCGTGATGAGGTTGGAGCTCTGGCTGAACGCTTTCCCGCACACCTGACATTTGTGCGGCTTCTCACCTGAAAAACACATTAAAAATAGATTATTTTGGGTCATTTTTAATTAAACACATTTTTTCAAGTTGATTTCGTACTTTTACGCACAGATTATTTACCACTTGAAAGGAAGGCAAATTAAATCTAACAGCAATTTAACTTTGATTTTTTTTTTTTTTATATAAATCAATGTTGTCTTCTGCTTCCCACTCACCTGTGTGGATGAAAGTGTGTTTCTTCATGTCTGACTTCTGGTGGAACCTCTTCCCGCAGTACTGGCACGGGTACGGCCGAGTGTCGGAGTGGATGAGCAGATGAGTCGACAGTGTTGACGACCTCTTGAAACTTTTACCGCAGATTTTGCAGTCGAAGCTTCTTTCCTGAAACGTGAGCAGAGGCGAGTTCAGAGAAACAGAAAAAAAAACAGAAAAACGCAGCTTTGGACGAGAAAGAATCAGACCTAGAGAAGAGGTGTGAATTCCGGGGGACGCTGTTTTTTTTTCTTTCTTTCTTCGTTTTTTTTTTTTTTTTTTTTTTTTTTAAGTTTTGTGAGGTTACCTGTGTGTGCACCGCTTTATGTTGCTCCAAACTGACCGCGTGTCCGAAGGTTTTGCCGCACATTTCACATGCAAACGGCCGCGTGCCGCTGTGAGATCTGCGGACGTGGACTTCCAAACCGTGCGGAGTAGAAAACACCTGTTGGAGGAAGAAAAACATGTTCTTTAGGTTTGATCACTGGTTGTCTTTAGGATGGATACATTTAATGCCTGTTAATGTGGTGTTGTTGTTTTAAGTTATACTAAAATAAAAACATGGTTTTACAGATTTTGGCTGATATTTATATCTCTGCATTAAATAGCTTCTGTAAACCATCCTTTGGATTTAATCCCACAACGCAAAAGATTTGAATGCATCTCCCTCCTCACCTTGCTACACTTGATACACTTATAAGCCCCGTTGAGGATGAGACTGGAGCACAGCAGGTCGGATGGGGCCTTCACACTGTGGGCTTTCCTCTGCAGGCCTCCATCGGGAAATAGCAGAGCAGCAGCGGCGGCAGCAGCAGCGTGCCTCCTGTAGTCTCCATAAGCCTCCTCACCCAGACTCTGGTATGAATCCAGGGCTGGGTGTGTGCTCCTGTCTGCGTAAAAGGCCATGGACCCGGGGCCCCTGTCCACCTCCAGGCCGGGGTGGAGGCTCTGCTGCAACAAGGGCCTGAGACCGGGTCCCGGGTAGCTGCTCCAGGCGTACGGCCGGAAAGGAACAGTGAAGGGCTGAGACTCATCCACCAGAGGAGAGAGGGACTTCTCCGAATCGACTGAAGAGGGGAGACATATGAAAATGTAATGAAATGAGTGACATGGTTAAAGGGGGGCAAAAGAGTCATGCAATGTTTCCTCAGAGAATTCCTAGACGATGATACTTTTGAAAATATCAAAATAAATGTTCCCTAAATTTAATGAGTTTTGGAAAACTGTTCAAGAAGTTTAAAAAGAAGATTCAAACTTTCCCAAGAAAAAGGAGATGTAAGAAAATCTTATACACAGTTAGGCCTATAGCATGTGAAAAAACGTATGTGATCATTTGAAATATTATACAGGTTACAACGTGCAGAAAGAAAACGAGTACATACAATGTTATATAATATGTCATCATATTCTTCCATGTGAGAATTGAGTTCATTTCTTTTGCTGTGTTTCATGCACCCTAAAGCTTTTAGAATCCGTCTCCCCTGAACGTGTTATGCGTTGAGTGTTTATGGTGTGCAGGATGTAGTTGTGTGGCGGTGTGTACCCGGTGATGCTGAGGGGGAAGGAGGCCTCCAGAAGTCCTCATAGTCCGAGGAGGGACCACACAGACTGTCCGCGCAGCTGAGCGGAGACTTCGGGGAGAAATCAGCAGCGTCGGCCAGGTGGGAGTCTGGAGAGAGGCCGTACCTGTCCACCGACATGTCGGCGTCATCCGGGAGTTTATCCACCTCTGAGGGGAAAACAAGCACAGTCAGCATCTTAACGAAAAGGAAGCAAGGAAATTCTAATGTTTCTAATGTCAAGTCTGCTCAAATGTAATCTCCAACCATGTCAGGCGAATTTTGTAGTTCTACAAATAAAAAATAAAAAACAATCTACAAATCGTATTTTAATGCAAAATAAATTCCAGACAATTGTTAGATGTAGGCCTACAAACAAAAGAATAGGGACAGGAGGCTATAAACTCAATTATTTGGATTATTGGACCTTATTGTTGAATAATAAAAGAAAATAAGGTCTCAATTAATTTTCTGTACTCTAGAAATTATTTTTTCGTTAGGGTGAAGTGTTCTACCCGATAATTACTTTCCCTCTCAACCTATTACAACAAGAATGAAGGTCTGTTTGAATAAATTGCGTCAAGCTTTGCGTTTTATTAACTGTAAAATCAGAAGCAGCGTTATGTATGGGTTTTTACTTCAACATTAATAGTTGTTTATTATGAGAAACGCTTTTTAAATTTATTTTAAGAAATTCTAATGCTACATTGAAATGCGTGTTAATATCTAAAAATCTGAATTATTTTGCACAAACCTGAGCATATGTGCGCCAGTATCGAGTCCAGTCTGTTGTAGTCATCCTCTAAGCTCCTGGGCTGGTGGTAGCTGTGCGCCTTCTTACTCTTCACCATGAAGGAGCGAGGCATCTCTGATGTGAGAGCAGACAAATCACTGAGGAGAAGGAGGAGAGCTGCGCGCGGTGACTGAACCCTGCAAAGATTTGATCTGCGCTGGGCTGCTCCAAGTGCTTTAAGAGATTTCAACCTGGCAACAGAGCATGCGCACCACGATCTGTCCCGTCTGCCAGGTGTTGCACGGACAGGTGTCACAGCAGCAGCCCCTCCACTGCCAAAGATATCCGCCTGCAGTGTTTTTAGTCAGCACTGACAGTGTGGTTACAGGCGAGAGGAAAACCGTCTGCAGCGGGGGCGACTTCTTGTCACTCTCCCTCGATGCAAATGCACTCATTTCAGGCCTCACTTCATAGCACAACAGAGTGCTCTGCCTGTATGTCAGGAAACACGTGTGGAATTATTATTCGCATTATTAATCGCAAGTCAGAATCTAGTGACTTTTTGCAGCGTTGAGCCCATTGCCCGGAGCTGCTGGTCCCTCCCGGATCAGACTGCGGCTCGTGTCCTCCAAAAGAGCCTTTGGCAATCAGTAGAAGTGATACAGGCCTTATCGGCGACTTACTCAATCTTACAGGGAGAGGAAACGCGGAGGCGCACCCCAGGGTGTCAGTTGCTGAGAGGCTACATATAGCATATAGTGGTAAAATAAAAGGGTGGGGGAAAGCCTAACTCGCAGTAGTCTCATGGTCCCTAATATAGATCGTATATATTTTGAAATGCATATTCAACCGAAGCCTGTGCTTATATTTATGGGGCTGGCGCCAATAAGCTACGAGTGATTAGACAAGTGACTACCTTTACCCTTTACCCTTTACCCTACCTTTACATGAGGCCCGATGTTATTTACACACATCATAGCTGCAGGGTAAGACTTAATATAAATCCTCACATTAATATCAGGTTAATTTGTAATAAATCTGTGGATTTAAGATACTGTAAATGAAGTGCAGCGTAGTCCCGGTCTGGTGCTCTGTTGGGTCGGAGACTGTTATTATGCGACAGACACTAGCCGTCCTGACGCCTGCGGTGACAGTTTCACATTACCCTCGTCATTATGCTCAAAAGAAAGAAGGCCAAAACAGAGACAATTTGCTTTCAGTTTGCCCTGCAGGACGCTCATCAGTGCGCCCTTTCAGCGTCATTACGCACAGAACAAAGGATGGAGTCGCGCGCCCTGGTGCCTTTTATCCACCGCAGTGAATACTAAAACTGTTTCAGGGATGGAGTAAAGGGTACTCTGATTTTACAGAGAATATAACCATGCAATATTCCGCAATATAAAATAATTAACATTTGCTTCGTGCTCAGTGCCGATAGTCTATCTTTTAATATTCAAGGCAAAATTATTGTCAAGTTTTTTGTTGATCACAGAGCTCCATTTTAGCCGAACTGTTTTAAGTAAACATCCTCTACATCCCCCCTCCCTACTTATTATTACATCCGCTCATATCACCTCCCTGTCTGAAAATATATTCTCAATCACAACATTGAACACATTATTTTAATTCTGTGATTGTCTGAACCTGGTCCAATCAAACTGAGCGTGAGGACACAATCTGTATGTGCCATGTCTCTGATAGCCACTGGCCACTGAAGTCTGTTCACATCAGTCCATGTCGACCGGAAATCAAAGCGCCGCGTGCCCCGGCTCGATTAGACACACACCGCAACCGAGGCATCCGGACACTGTATCGGGGAAGATATGAAGCCCGGAGCCGATAAAAGTCCAAGGAGACAGACTCTGCTGCCCGGAGAGAAACGATAGGCAGGTGGGGAGGACGCTGCGTAATCATCATGACATAATGAGCGACGATACGGCAGAGTTTAAAAAAAAAAACAAAAAAAAACAACATCAATGCATAATAATAAAAATGACAATTCCAGCAGAAATTGTGATGGGTGGTTGCTGTCAATTCACCTTGGACTGGGTTAACTGGTCAAATGGTTAACTCCTTGTGTTGGGGGTTTAGAAAAGGTGAACCACTTGAAGTTCATTGCATCCTCAACTGTTTCTCTGCTCCTGCACACTGATCAACTGTAGTAGTAGAAGTAAAAAACTTAGGGAAGTGGAATAATAATAATAATAATAATAATATAATAATAATAAAGATTTCAATATCAATAGTGTGAATGCTGCACAATAATAAGGCACATATTTTTTTCGCATGTCTGTGTGTGCCTCTTGTCATGTATATTTTTAAACACATAAAATACATTTAATGTTTCTGCATGATTTATTTAAATATCGCATAATGTCTCTATTGAAAAAACATTGAATAACGCCTCGGCATTTGAAAACAGCGAAATAATTCACGCCTCCCACAGCCCACCATCATTTTATTGCGATCTTACCACAATGACCGTCTACACTTTCAGAAATTGATCAACATGAGGTTAGTAGGTCCATATTTTTAGTTCTAAATATGTATGCATGAGTTGCATGTATACAGTATTGTTTTTATCTCTATGTCGACCCAAATCTGCACATTTAGGCCGAAAATGAATTAAATCTAATTCAGATGACATCTTAATCACAAACGTGTCTGCTTGGCAGATTTGCAAAAATAAGAAATTGTTCTTATTGTTATGTTACTTCCATTTTCTGCGCCAGTGCACGCATTCAATTCAATTCAAACAACTTTATTAATCCCTCTTGGGGCATTATCCAAATATCAGCAACCATCATCAATCATTGCATTATAAAATATTAATTCAACACTTACTGAGCTCTCTGCACCTTTACCATCTTGTCAGGAGTTTCTCAATGAATAAAAAATATGCGTCTTTATCAGCAATAAGCATGAATACAAACCTGCTTGATCTTCAAGGGTGCCTTGCACGCGCTTTAAAAATGTGGTTTTCTGCTTGAAATGATTAGTAGTTGAGAGTGAGCTCTGAAAAACCGCGAGAAATCACTTCCTGAAAGCTCTTAATCTTAGCAAGAATCTTGTGTGAGGAAGGCAGAGCTGAGCCTCATCACACGTGTGCTCAGAGTCACACTGTGGCTGAGCTGGATCAGGTCAGGGGTCTCTGCCATGGACTCTAAAGAATATAGTGTTATATACAGGGGTCTCTGGTCCTTCATTACATTAAAGAGAGATAAAGAGAAAGGAAGTTTTATCAAATGTTTTTTTTATTGAGAACTCATCACACACACGCACACAGAAATCTCATGTAATCTCCAGAGTGTGCTGACTGCCTCATAGTGTTGCCATGTGTGTCCTTACTGCACTGCAGACTCAAGAAAAAAAAAAAGTGCCATAACGTGTTCCTCTCCCAGCAAACAATCACTTCTTTTTTTTAACCAAGGGATATTTTCAAACTCACGTTTTTTCTGTTTCCTCGACTTCCAACAATGCTTAGTTCACTGTCACTGAACACAGGGGTTAGTGTTCAATACATGCATTCAGAGAAATTCTTACACAAACAGCTCTGTGCTCATGAACCGGAGTGAAACTGTCCCGTGGATGAGCACAGAATACAGTGCTTATACTTTGGAAACACTTGGAAGGTCCTGACTCCTCTCCAGATTGAGTTATTAAGTGTGCAAGGTTGTGTTATCTCAGAGCTAACTCCCAGTTTGAAACTCACGTCATCTGGTTCATGAGAAAATGTATGATACAGAGAACATATGATAGGCATGACTCATATTTGACACATTAACAAATGAGCTATGAGCTGAAAGGTTAACTGGGACGTGTCAAGAGAACTCAGAGTGAAGAAATGAACCTGAAGCCTTTTTCTGCACTGATTTTAACAGCAGCATGTGTTCAGACTCTAAGCAGATTTCCTGGTACGACTTCATGCAAAGATTATTCATATCTATCAAGGAAACATGAATCATGCAAATTCATCATTTTTCTTGCAAGTTTAAAAAGTTCAGCGTTGAGATGTCCGGAGACTGACTCAAGCATGACGATTGATTATTGTAAATGTAGCTTTTTGTCTCACGGAAAAAGCAAACATTTGGACTTTTACTTAAATGGATCATGATGTTTTTATTGAATCATCGTTATACTTATTAAATTACAAAAAAACGGTTTATTTGGAAGTCTTGCTGCTGTAGTGGGCAGATTGAAAATGAGTAACTCTGGTCCTGCGCTTAGTACAACCAAACCTAACGGGTTAGAACACCTTTCCCCCGTCTGCCTCTAACGACTGGAGGCAGCAGGAAAGTTATCTTAAGTCTACTGAGAAAGCAGTTCACCTGCCAACTTATCTGGAAGGGTGAATCTTGTCAGGTTGTGTTTAACCAACGATATTAAACACAAATGATCTTGCAGTCAAACTCACACAGGTGACTGTGAGCTTTGCTTTGGTCTGAACACATCAACAGGGCCATGGATAAGAAACCCACCCTGAGGGAAGATCTTTTTTAATTAATACTTTTAGAATAAAGTCGAACCGCTGATAATCAATTTAAATTTTCAGAAAGGGCCAGGTACAAGAAAAATAAAGACATTTACAAATTCATGAACCAATGAGAAAATAAAGAAGTCTACTTCCTGGAGGGGTTGTCACCATCACAGAATTTCACACTGTGATACGATACTAGGAGGAAAAGAAATCAAGGCATCGATGCCTGTTTGATACCATAGCAACAAGAATTGATGGGCAACCAAAATATGGGTAAGTTGTTGCTTTTAATTAACTCCAGCATGCGGTCTCCTCCTCTGTTTATCGTCTGTTACAAACATAAACATTACCTTATTGCATCTTTACGACGCGTCTAAAAGGACTTCAGAAAAGTCAGTATCTGCTGACCTTTAATGTTGACGTCACCATCACTTCTTTCTGTGATTCTCGTGCAGCTTTGGGTTAAACATCTGCCTTAAGATCTGTATTTTTATAAAGCTTCAGTATCAGTAACACTTGGCATCCAAAAGTATCAGAGTATGTTAGATTTAAACAACCTTACTTCCTGGTTTTTTATTTCTCTTACACCTGCCTCTGACGCTGTTGGTTTATTCTTGACATTATACTTAATTGCGATATTTCAACTTAATTCTCGACATTTCACTTTTTTTTTTTTTATGTCCAAAGTATGAATAAAATTATTATTTTTCTTATACCTGGCCATACTCCCTCTGTCATAGATTATTCACTTTTAACTTTGTGCAGAACGAGGAGGCCGAAGTCTTCTGATGAGGGAACATCACTTATGTTTCTCTCTCTTCTGTCTGGAGTTCTTCTCACTGTTCTCACAAACATGTGTAGTCATTGGTGTTACCATATTTATGTAACTTACATGTCCCTTTTTTTTTTCCTTTCTGAATTGTACATTATAATCTACACATCAGATATGCACTAGATACATATTTTCAAGTTCAAAAGGAAACAAACAAACATGATACACATTTACATATCTACAAGTATGCAGATGTCACATTGACCTTGTGCTTCACCAGCCCCGGTGCAGCATTAATGAAGGCCAGAGTGTCATTGCTGGCGGTCGTAGGGGCCTCTGATAGCAGCCTCTGACCACGCTCAGCAAGACTCTAATGAATCGTGTTTCTGCATGATAGACACTTAGGAGTAACGGCACCACGTGTGTGATGTTCTTTTATAAAATGCTTTTAAAAGTATAAAAACGCCTTGAATGAAGTGTGTGATATAGCACAGGTTTTATTGCACAGTCTCTCTCTCTGTGTTGTACCTATACGAGGAGTGGGGGCAGCAGAGTGATTCTCCTCCTGTTGTCGTCGTGGCCCAGTAGAGTTTGATACACTCCTCCACAGTATTGGTTTCTCTGCTGAGGTCCATGCTGATGATCCGCCTCTGCCAGTGGTGTTTGCTTCCCTCAAGCAGAAAACAAAAAAAACTACAAACAAACTAAATAAACTCAATCCGTAAGTGTAATTCTCATGCTATGAAATGATGATGCATCTGCTTTCTGAAATTCCAGACTCCTCCTCTGAAATGGCTGCTGGGAACACCTCCTCTCCCTGACTGGGTGCTGACAGCATCTGTCCCGACATCACACGGTGGTGGACTTGCTGCTCGGAGGTACGGAGAGCCGCAGGGCCTCGTCGTCCTCCTCATCCTCCTCGCTGTCTGTGTCCGGCAGGTTGGGCCGCAGTCTGATACGACCGCCGCTCCTCTGCTGGCTGTCCTGCAGGATGGGGTCCTTGACTCCATCTTCATCTGAAGACTGGTAAGACCTGTCGTCCCTGACATAGTGATTGACGATGTGGATCCCATCAAAAGTGGGAGGATTGGCCAAGCCCCTCTGTCCTTTTAAGCAGCAGATCTGTGAGAGGAAGCATGAGGAGCATTAGGAGCTACACTTAGATTCTTTAATCGTGCTTGCAAACACTAACATGTAACATCAGAGGTGGACACAAAGACTGACAGGTATAACATTAACAACACAAAGTGGTCACATCTTTGGCAGTAAGTGATGTTGTAACAGCTCAGGATGAGATGTTTTCACAATTTTAACGTGCAGGCAGCAACTTAAACACGTGAACAATGCACAAGCTATGAGCTGTGTCCCAATGCTGAATACAGCTAGTGCACAGTGGAAACACACTCATGCAAATACTACACTAGCTCTGCAGATACACCAGAAATCAGCGTCATTAACCATTATGTAAGAACACAAAGTGATAAAGATCTGCATGACCTAACACCAGCACTGTGGAACAACTAAACATGGAGAAAAAAAAAAGTTATTGATTAACACTGGATTTTTTTTTTTTTTTTTTTTAGATCACTTCAGATACTAGAAACGACACAGACACAGATTACACGTGATGATGGTAACAGATGGAAAGCCAATGTTTCATGTGTTGTTCTGCTGATCTCACCGCTTCTTAATCACCTCAAACATTCATTTTTGCATGTAATGGCGTTGTGACTTATTGCACGACCTACGACTGCACACTGAGAATCATTAAGTAAAGTGCAGTTGGGACATTGTTTCATTCCTTCCTGGGTGAGTGCAAGCTCCATTTGGGACTATATGGGGGACAAGTCCTGAAGGTGTCCTATGGAAATCTTTAGCCGAGTGGTTGTGCGGTGTTGTTTATGATACAATCTTTTCTTTTCTAAACATGAAACCGTTTTGATGAAGTTCAGACTTCAACTTTCTGTGGTTTGTGTACTTCTTTCCCATTTTCTTAAGGCTCCTGTTTGACTTAGGGGGGGGAATAACAACAGTTTTTTTTTTACCATTAGCTAAAAGAACTTGAAGAATTCTTGCACCATTCAAAAAACTAATTTGGACAAACCCTAAAAGATTGAGATTGAAACTAAATGCCAAATCTCTTATAATGAAGTTTCGATTTTACAAAGAAAGTTTGACCGATGTGTATCAAGTAATGTCCATGATCTTTATAAATGTTTCTATGGAAGCTTCCAGTACTGTCTCGAGTGCATAGCTGATCACGCCTGAAGATGGGAGGGGGCTACACATTGATCAGGGTTCAACCACTGGGGTCACAAGGTAACATCTGGACACACTTACCTGCGTCAGACTGCCATGCAACAGACAGACATGTAGGAAGAGACGCATTCAGAAGATAGTTCAGAGCTCAATATATACGATGTGTGAAGAATAAGCCTACGTTTACCTGCACCTGTCTGAAACAACAGGAAGTCAAAAAGCCATCTTTAGTATGAAAAGGAAACTTTGATGTGTTCAACATCTGACTGGCTGAAGTCACAATTTCCAGCAATATGATGCAGGTCATAAGGCCGTGATGGAGGAGG